AAAATGTGGGTTTTACGACCCTATCCTAAAGGTAAGGTGGCCCACTTGAGAAACATCATGTGAAAATAAAAACTTGAATTTATACTTATAAATAAGTTTGTGAATTTTTAAAATAGTTGCTCATTTTTTTAAAAAGGATACACGCCAAAACAGAATGAATTCAATTTTCAACTCATTTTAAATGAATGTGAAATTCTCAGACTTCGTTTTTAGATGTTTAACACGTGTCAACTCACATGCAAAAGAATTTGAATTTTCAAAGAGTTTGCTAATTTTAAAATGATTACAAACTTTCTAGTGTAATTTTAAAATTTTTTAAATGAATGAATTTTAATTCAACTTGTTTGTAACCCACACCACACTCTCAAACTTTTTGTTTGAATCTTTAGTATGTTTATTGAAACATAGGGGAGTAAAATTGTCTTCATCAATTTAATGTGCCATGTCAGCTATTCTTCGCATTTTAACAATTTTGGTAAATTTGCAAGTTGCACCTGCACGAATTTTGATGTGCATCTAAAATGCGCTTGCACATTTTTTAACGCGTTTGGACATTGCACTTGTGGAATTTAGTGTGTTTACACATCGCATTTGCATACTTTTTATACATATATGCACATTGCATCACAAGCATTTTTGATGTGAAACAATCAAAAATTGCACGGGAAATTTTTAAAGAATTACAAAGTTTGCTACTTGAAGATTAAAGGTTCGTAAGACAAGATTCAAGAGCTTTCAATTGTCAAAATTATTATGATAAGCAATTACAAAACTTGAAGTTTGGGAACAATTGAAGATAAATCTGAAATTATCACAACAAAAACAAATGAGTAGTAATATAATCCCACGGTTAATATTTAGAAAATTCACTACGAGTTACCATGCTCACACACACTCATAGTATGGCTTAGCGGAGGAAGGTTTTTAGCACACCCAACGATGTCACGAGGACGGTCGCAACACCAATGGACTTGATCCACGGAAAAGTCAACAGTGGTGGAGATGGCACGGGTGGATGACCGTTGATGGTCCAATCGTAGTATTGGAATTGATCGTCGATGACATCCACGAGAGTAGGAAGGATGCGGTTCAAATAGTCTTCAACAGTGTCGTCAGAGCCAAACCCAACGTCGAAGAACGGTGAACGGGTGATGTGGATGTCGCCGTAGACGTCGAATACCAATCTGCTATCAATTGCAGGATCGGCCATACGTCATTGAAGCGGAGGTGGAAAGGCGTCGTCTTCTTCTTCTCTTGGCTTCAAAATTCACAAGGGAGGGAGCAATGAGAGAGGAGGCCAAGAGAGAGAGAGAGAGAGAGAGAGGAGGCGGGTGACTTGGGTGAGGGAATTTAGGTTAGGTGGGGAGAGAATGAGATTTACTCAAATCTGAAATTAACTTCAAAATTTGAGTAAATTAGGAGGGAATCAATTTGAAATTGATTTCAAATTTCAAATAGAATTAAGAGGGATTAATGGGCATTAAATGGGGCCCATCAAGAGGGGGGGCAGCGGGTTCTAGATAGAGGGGAGGGAGTTATTTCAAAACCTGAAATTAATTTCATGTTTTGAATAAAATAGGGGGGAAGATTAATTTGAAATTGATTTCAAATTAATGGGTAATCAATGCATTAATTGGTGGCTTGAATGGGGGTCCATTCATGGTGAGGCCGGCGGCTTCTAGAGAGAGGGGAATAGTGTGGGAGCCATTGAAGAGTTTCTAAATCGGCACATAGGATTTAGGAAAGATTATGATGAAATCTATTTGAATTTGAATTCCATAATAATGCGGATTTAAGTACTTTCCTAATTAGGAATTTCCAAAATTGGAAAGTTTTGAAATTCAAAATTTGAATTTCAAATTGACTCCAATTTTTCTCTCTCAAGCCCAACTAAATTTGGAAGGTAGCGTGATGATTGAGAGCTTCATCACAATAGGAAAAGGGAGCTTGGTGGGGGCGGCGGCAAGGGGAGGGGGTGGATGGTTTGATTGCTTGCCGTCGGGTTATGGTGATTTTGGTGGAGGTGGGAGGTGAATTGGGGAAGCTATTGAGTGAAAAGGATGGGAGTAAGTGGACGAAAATGTGGCCGGTGGCTTGGGAATGAGTTAGGGCCGGCGGGTAATGGAGGATAAGGAGAATTGGGATGGAGGAGGTAAAGGAAAGAAGACGAAGAAAATAAAGAGAAACCAAGAGCTCCACCAAGGGGCTGTTGGGTATTGCGTTGAGCCTCTCCTAGGCTAATCCTTACTCGAGAACTCACAAAGAGAACTCTAGAACTCACAAAGAGATAACAACAAAATTCTTTTTTCATTCCAAATATTCATTAACCTCATTACAATAGAAATGACCTATATATAGGTCTCAACATAAAAGAAAAACAAATACTAAATTGCCCTCAGGGCTACAATATGACTCAGTTCATAATAGGGGTATAATAGGAAGACTCCAAGAAATAAAAATGCATAAATATCTAGAAATATAAACTCTGAATCGTGGTCGTCGATCTGCGATGCCTCCGGCGATACACATGCTTGAACCTCTGATCGATGTCCTCATCAATTTTATTGTATTTATGCATTTTTGGATGTGCCTATATAAAAACACTTGCACGTTTTTTTGGTGTCATTGCATAGCACATTTGCATATTTTTTATGCATTTTCATATTTCTTATGTGTTCACAAGATGCATTTACATGCCTTTTGCACACTTATACACTCTTCGATGTTTTTACATAATAAAGTTGCATGCTTTTAAAATGAAGGCATGCTTCTCCAGATAATTTCATGATTATATGCTTCACAAGAAAATGGCATGCCTCTCGAGACAGCAGCATGCTTTTGAAGTAGCATGCATCTTGAGACTATAGCACGCTTCTCAAAAATTACATGTTACAAAAGGTCATCATAGCATTCTCGAAGAAGCTACGCAACTCTCAATGCAAAAGCACACTTCTCTACGCATTATACTTAAACTTGATAATTATGTTTAGATTCATGGCAGATTTGAAAATACCAAGATTTTGGTTTATTTGCATAAGTATTTGACATTAAAATATACACATAGTTCATTTTAAAATTTAAAAGAATCATCTTCTGCCATATATTCACTAACGTGTATGAGTTGCATATCCAATGGTGATGAAGTTGAATAAAAAATTTTATTAATTTTTTTGTTTGCATATCACTATAATTTTGTTCTATTCAAGTCCTTAGTCAGTGTGAATTTTAGAAGCCTCTCAAAGTCTTCCCTGCATATGGGACATCTTCGGGGGTACTAGGCCTTCCACCATTTTAAAAAAACATGCATACACGGTGTCATGAGATACCACAACAAGAGGGGTCTTCCATCCCACTGCACTAAAAACAAAACGTGTATAAGCTCTAATGTATCTGCACCAATAAATACATACATAGAATTTCCTCATCACGCTGGAACAACGTGCATGAATACTTAAGTTGTGAATTGGGGAGAGTAAAAGTGATAGCGACGGCCTTTCGTTTTAAATTTTTCTCCTCTTTTTTTTTACACATAAGGTTCAAATGAGGAACGCGACAGTAGAACAAGACGCGTGCAAGGTTCCTCTCGCAATTCCTCATTCATCATGCACCTCGAAGTGTATATTATCACCTTGCGTGCAAGTAAATTTGTGTTTCACTTTTGTGCGACAGCCCAAGCATTATTATCTCATTTTTGGCTAATTTCAATGTTCCAGGCACATTAAAGCAATTTATTTAGCAAAAGGGCAACATTCGAGCAACTTTAGATCATTTTTTTATTTTTTATCAACTGGCAATTTGGCGATATGAGAGGTTCTTTCTTGAAAAAATCAATGTTTTTGACACATCACATAGTACGTTTCGCAAACCAACAAAATTTGTGTGACTTATATTGTGATCAAGTTTTTTTTAACCCAATTTTGTGTCGTGTTTGTTGGTGATCATACAAATCCTATTTGCTCAAATTGGTCGCAAGACACGCACTGAGGTCAATAATGATCTTTTCATATACATTTGAGAATAATAATAATTTGGTTGCTTCGCATTTTCATTCATACAATCATATGGCAAAGCTTTAAAATGGATTATTCCTCATCACATTAATTATAAGAAAAAACTTGTTTACTCACTTATAAGTTAAATTATTTGCCTTTGCATGAATTGGTAGCTAGACACATATGGAGGTCAACAATGGCTACACACTTGCTATTCAATCAATGATCTTTTCACATCTTTTTATAATAATAATAATTTTGTTGCTTCTCATTTCATTCCAAAGGTTAAATGGCAAAGCTTTAGGAATAGATTATTCCACATCAGCTTAATTATAAGGAGCTTCTTTACTCTTTCATGAATTGAATTAACATGGATAATGACCATGGCATCTCCTTTTGCTTCTTCAATCCAATGACACACACTCGATGAACTCTTTCTATTATTTATGGGTGAATTGTTGTATTGATAATCCTATATGTTCTTAGAGGTGGAAAAGTATTGATCCTCTTAAAAATGAGGTTCTTGGATGGATTATTTATATAAGAAAAATCTCTGACGAATTCTGTTTGATAGCCAAGAATTATCATATTAGCCATTTGAGACATACGCGAAGAAAATTTGGAATATGGTTTTCATATCTTCTTCAAATGCAAAACATTATTTTCAAGGAGACATTGAAACATTTTTGGTATCTCTACCCATGTTAATAGCGTCAGCTCAATTTTTTTCCACTCGGAGAAATTAATTTATCAAAAAAAATTTCGTAAGCTTTAGAATGTTGTCTTCTTCTCTTCCTTTATTATCATTTGAAATAAAGGTATGACAGATGCTTTCTAACAAGGAAAAAGACGTACAAACTGATTTAAAATCTCAACCGCTAAGAATAATAATGATATATATATCAACTTAAACTGTTTTCAAAATATCACAATGGAAAAACCAAGCATGTGCCAAAGAATAAATGGTGAAGATGGGATATGGAGCAAAGTGAAAAGAGAATATTATACCAGTCACGACTAGCACGAGTGAATACAATTGCATCAGCACCTAATCTCATAGTACTCGTCTTAAAGCCATTACCATCTGAGAAGAGGAGGTCAAAAATTAAATTTAAAAACTTAAAAAATCAAAAATTTTCATGTCATTGAATAGAAGCTTATAAAGGCAGAGTTTGAGTGCTTAAATAAAAGGGGCGTCCAGTAAAATCAGATGCAAATCATAGGCATGACACTAACATGACATGGTTTGGAGCACTTTTCGTATTAAAATTAACACAACACTAGCAAGTTGTTTCACTCATGTCAAATTCTAGTGCACAAATCCCTCCATTATTAATAATTTAAAAGGAGCCAAAAAATTCATAGGAAATAAATAATGTCATGTCGATAGAAATAAGACCCCGTGTAAATAGAAAATAGGAATTATATGCTCACAACCACAACATAAAGTTCATTCAATGAAAATATTCATCAAAATTATCATAAATCTCTCATTTAGGTAAGTTGATTTATCATGATACATATGAAAAACCAGGCAAAATCAGTAATAAAACTATATAAATAAACGTGATTCCCTATGTTAAAGTAGGCCAAAATATCTTACACTGGCATAACTACATGTCACAATATCAACTAGCTCACATAAAACGATGTCTATCAATAACTAACTTATCAAGCCAGTTATTCAAATCCATGGTTAGAACAGGTTGGCAAATACTCAAAACCCTATAAAGCACTTATGTTTAGATTCAATTACAAGTGAATTGCATCATGAATACCTGCCACATGTCATTTAATGTTATTCTCAAAATCATTGTTGAGGAACATTTTTTAATGCGTACATGAATAGTTTCATAAGCAAATGTATGAAATTTACAACAAAATCACGTTGCATCGGACTTAAATATAAAAGCATAATACTAAAAAATCAAAACCGCCCTGTTATTATTTCGTGTCATGTTAACATTTTTCTCCATTTATGAATCCTTTAGTTTCTGAATATCTGTAAAATTAGTAAGATCTAGTATATGCTATAAATTTTGACGCTTGACAGTGTGATTTTTCACTATGTAGCAGTCAATTTTTAATATGCAAAAGACTTTGCAGCTAGAATTTAATTATAAGCAATGTAATAAAGACCCATTAATGCTAAACAAATGAAGAAACGGTAATCCATTAACAATACTTATTACATTCACTTCAAAAAACTTTGACTATGCTAAACTCTAAAAAAATTATTAGATATGAATGGCATTACATCGACATTATGACTACTTTCTTCAGTATTCTACCAGTCATCAATCTCTACAAATCAAGCTTCATAGCTATCCACCTCAATAAATTGAAAAGTACCCTTTACATGGTCTGATACATGCTTCATTAACATAAAATTTCTGTTTCCCTATCTGCATGTTTACAAACCATCCCATTTCCTATGTCTATCTTTGCTCTCAAAACAACAATCACATAGATCACATCCATGGAGAAATCCCAACAATATGCTCCAACAAATCAAAAAGCTCTTAAATATTGGTGTTGATCTATGATGCACCAACACTTCTCTTCAAAAAGGCATGCAGTGACAGACATGATTTCAACACGTGTTCAACAGGCCGAAGACATATCCAATAAAAATATTAAAATAAATTAGACGCTCATGTCCAACATACGTGTCTAAATTATTTTATGAAAAAAAGAAATTAACATAATTTACTGTATTTCAAATTTTTATTTATTAAAAAAATTAATTTCATATTTCCTCTCCACATCCTAAAATCAATCGTCAATACTCAATACCTCATTACTTAAACATTCTCATTTTCATTTCTTTGGCAAGTCGCAATTAGGGTTTCATAACAACGCCCAATCTCATCTCAACATCGACGTCCAATGTCGCCACAACATCAACGTTTCAAAATCATCTCAACATCGAAGTTTGACGCTATCTTGACATTGACGCTCAACGCCAACAATTTCTACACCTACAACCATGCCCCTGCATAGTCTCGACATCTCATCTTAGTCCAAGGTAGTCTCAGCATCGACAATTGACGTCGTCTTGACATCAACAGCCAATGTCGTCTCGACATCAATGTTTGATGTCCATTGCACAACATCAATACCTAACTCTCAACAGCATTATCGCTTACCTCTTGATGACTGACATATGACATCGACATCCAACTCTCGACATCCTAATATTAATCATTTTAAACACAAATCATAACTATATAACTTATTACTTCTCGTTTATTTTAAATATTCTACTTATTCAATTTCTATATATATTTTTAATATACATAACTTATAATAATGTGTTCAACCCATATATGCTACTATATTTTTAATGATTGGTGTGTTCCGTGTCTAATCATGTATGTGCATCATAAGTTTTGATAGTAAAAAAAATCATTGGCATTCATTTCAATTCCCCAATCCCTAAGCAACAATGATGCATATAAATGTACGATTTCTTTTTCATGTTTAAGGTAAATGGTGTGGGCATGTTTGATCAATGATTAAGATGAATTATGTTTACTAGTATGCACTCTACGATTCGTCGTTGTGAATATCATCTTACTAGAAATATTACTGATGCTTTTGCAAGGTTAGTGGTAAATCCATTGATATCAATTTGTTCATTTACTATAAACACTTACTCCATAATGAAAATTTATCATTGTTTGTCTTTCTAACACAATTCAAGTTGCTTAAATAATATTGACAAGCACAATCCATAAGCAACACCAAGGAATCAACCACAATAATCATAAACAAACTCTCTACCCCCACTCCCCTCCATCTTTCGTTTTTTAAAAAATTATGAGAGAAGGATGATGCATGAGAATTCTCGAAGAAAATGCCACGAGACAAAAGAACTCCACCTACAACTTGGAGAATAAAAGGAGGAAGAACTTTGCATAACAACTTGAAACAATGCAAGTACAGAGTAATGGGAAGAAGCAAACAATGACCTCAAAATACAAAAATACTATTTATTAATTAATCTAAAATTCTATAACCAATCCTATTTGCAAAGAAAAATCAAACCTTAAATCAAGAATGGGATCACAATTATCCTCATTATATTTAATATAAGTTTAAAAATGGAAATAAATAAACAAATCTCAGACAAAATAAATGATAGGTCTACAAATACCTGAAAATTAGTTTATTCCAACTCTTTTTTATCGGGTAAATAAATGATAGGTCCACAAAGACTTGAAAATTAGTATATTCCAACTTTTTTGTATTCTGATTCAAAGCATTGTCATAGGTATATTAAAAATTAAACATGTATATGCCAAACTAACTAAATCGTGGGACAACATAGACGGTATCATATCAATTCCTAGAAGAAGCAAAGAACTCTCCTCTGGAGATATAGCAGGAATGTAATCAATATAGAGATCCAGAGGTTAATCGTATTCTACATCTTTACATACGGTAGAGTTTGATTTTTAGGGAGTGAAAGTGGAGAAGTTGGCAAATAAGTCATCCTTACTATCACTCTATAGAACTGCACATGAGATTTTCATGACACACGGCTCCTCATTCAATTCTTTCAAAGTAATTGGATCCTTTTCTTCATTTGAGAACCTCCTCCCTTCTTTGGTTTCTTCGGTTCTTTACTTTCAATTTCTTATGGACAATGGGTGACGTCATTCTGCCTAAATAGTAGACACAAGTGTGTAACAATAATAGAATACTAAAAGATTTAAGTCATGAAATTTCTTATATGAATGATAAACTCGATAGAAGTAAGAATTCTAGTTAAAATCCCTCCTATAAAAGAATCAATAGGCAAATCACAATGTTTAAGAGTTCATCAATAAGGCATTAAATCTACAATGATGAAAATAAGGCTTTCAATCATATTAAGAGGAAAACCTAAATCACATGTATACAGGCAAATATTCCCATTTATCTAAAAAAGATTGCATGCCCTTAAATGTAATGTATCATATCTAATTTGTATTAATGGAGCACCAACTCACTCATACAAAAATCTCCACAAGAAAGATAATTTGCAGGAATATGGCTAGGTTATTTTTTAGTGAAGTTCAACAAATCAATATTTTTGTGTGAAGTCATAAAATTTGCTAATGATATATAAAAACTAAAGATCAACAAAGATTAAGCTTAATTGTAGTATGGTCGAACATCAAAAAGTTGGGATTCACTTACAGTTGGAAGATCTCCATGTAGAATTGATGAATGTGATAGTGGTCAATGTTAACACCCAAAAAACACATTTTGCAATAAGCTAAGTATTATAAAGCCAACAAAGTTGTCTTAATTCTCTCTCATGATTGAGAGCGATAACTAATTATAAGGGCTTGAGTATATGAAAGATTCAAACCAAATCATAAAGTTTTCACAAAATGGTTGCTTTCTAAAGCTTAATCCAGAAACACTCACATGTATTAAAAAAGACTAAAGGTAATTTTCATAGCCCGCAAAAAAAGTATAACGCAAGGTATCAAATGGATAGGGAAGGGTTAGGAAGGACTGATAAAAAAAAATTAACTTGGAAGAGTCGTTGTTTATAAAAGATTTCATTGATATAAAACCACCACTAGTATATTTTTACTATCATACAAAAAGGAAGACATGAAGGCATGCCCAAATAAATTACTAAAAGGCTAATAAGATGATGATTGCAATGAAAATGTCTATGACAATGATTGATAAATACTTCTATGTGACATAACAATACTTTGACTTGTGACAAAAATCATGATTAGTTTGCCTTAACATTAATGCTAAAATCATCAATGGCCATAGGCACATTCAACCTTTCAAAATGAACAATAGAATAAATATACTGAACACCTTCATGCTCTATTTGTAGTTAATAGTTTGCAATAGCAAAAAAAACAAAAAACCAAAGAAGCCTATATAGACTCATCTTTAATTGTATAAACTACTAGTAAAATATCCCGGGTCTCTGTTTCTTAAGGAAAGTTTTCTAGTAAATAAAATATACTAACGGATTGGCATGTAATATTGATCCATGAACCATACTATTGACCTTTAAAGGATTCAACAACAAAATCTTAAACAGAATGAAATGCCATAGGCTGCATAAAAGGTAGAACAAAAGAACTTACACTGTCCTATTGTGGTCTTTGAGTTCTTCTTTGAGAATCCCAAGCTCATGCAATGGCGTATGCCTTCTGGATCCATTCCCCCACCATCATCTGCAAAATTTCCAATAATGATATATATCATTCTCAAACTACGCAAAACAAAATGATTTCCCGCAAGTGCATGATAATATATTGGTGGCAAGTACCTTGAACAAGCAACATAGGACTGTTATCTCTTGGATTGATCATTTTATCTACCTTGACAAATGTTGCACCATTGCATATCTATGGAGCATAATCATAAAAGGATACAAAAGGACAAATAAATAAATAAATAAAAGCATTCAAGTTCTTCATTAGGCAAAACTTGAAGGCGGGTAATATTATTCAAACGAAATAGCACACCAGTGTTTTAAAAATACAATGACCAACACAAAAAAGTTGCAGCAGTAGCATAAGCCAAAATTATGATTCTTGCCAATCAAATTAGAAGTTCCCAAAGATTATGGTTACCAACAGCACAAGAAGATGTTTACCTCATCAACAGCATTATCAAGAAGTTCAGCAATGGCTGCATGGAAAAGGTGAAAAGTATCACAAACTTTCCTCAGATAAAAAAACGGGGAATTCCATACATAACATTCAAGTCTTATGTATTTATACAAAACTAACACTAATATCAATTTTTTTAGCCATCAGGCCAGCATATTTTCCCATGCACGATAAAATTATTGGAAATTTGAGAAGTAAAAAAATATAGTTAGGTGCCTTCTTGTAGTAAATTTTGATATTTGGGTGAGAATTTAAAAATTGGAGCTCGGAGGGTATTAGTTTTGTATAAAGCATAGATGAGTGCTACATATGTAATTGCCCCTTAAAAAATGCCAATAAACTGTAAAACAATTGTTACAGTCTCTTTAGTGATGAAAGAAAAATAGTTGAGAGGAAAATACTAAGACAAGAATGACGCTTAGGAAAGCTAATAATTGATTTGTTACTTTAAAAGGACAATTTCTATGGTATCAATCCAACAAAAACCTAAAGCAATAAGAAAATAAAAACTAAAAGGTAAGTTGGAACTTGTAAAGATTCAAACCAGGGTACCATAAACCTTTCATCAAATTACATATCATCCCAACTTTATATTTATGTCAAACATTTATAAAAGAGGAAGATAACTGAAATAAATAAATAAAAAAAGCAGAATGGGAGGCATTGAATTCCACAGGATGAAACAGGGAAGAGAGCAATTTGTTATGATGACAACTCAAATAAAAACCCCCTCAGTGATGATAATGCAGATGATTTATGAGTTATTGCCAACTATTTCAGTTTTCTTTAAAATTAAATGTGGATTAGTAGGGAACTGAGAAAGAAGGAATTTGTAGTTAAACTTGATATAATATGATACTTATATAGAATTCCTATCATTTATGTTGTTTACACTTGTAATAATTGAAATTTAATTCTATTTCATGCAATTTATCATTTTATATCTTGTGCAATTTTTTGTTTCATAGATATGTCAATTTGTTAATTCATAATTCAATTAATATGTCATTCTTTAACATATTATTTGGATATTATATTAAAATTTACTTTTAAATTTTATATTCACTTTACGCAATTTTTGAATTTTGAGGCTTAACCCTCAAAATGCCTTGAGGCTTACGCCTCGCCTCAAGAACGAAAAGCTTCTCGATACTCAATTGCACAATTTTATACCTTCTACCAAACCGGCAAAATTCAACTGCTATGGACACGACTACAAACTTTGATAACATGCTCAAACAAGTCAAAGAAAATCATAACAGAAGCATTCAAATATATAAATAGTAGGCTGATCTTTGCCAACGACATAAGCTGATCTTCACATTCGCAAGGAAGGGTTCCTAGTGTACATACTCTAAACTAAAGCTTTAAAAATTGGCTCCATTTCTGACAACCGCCTGTATCAACAATAATGCCTTACTCTTTACCTCCCACTGGAATTGAGCATATCCCCAAGGAATTGAGCATATCTCCAACCTTCAATGTTGCTGATATATATGTCTATAAACAACACAACGATGGTATTGTGCAACTCACTGAACTCGAGAAGTGCATCTGAAGCAAGAAAGAACTAATGCAGCTCACTGAAATTGACCGGTCCGCTCTATCTAGATTATTTGATTTAGCTAATAGCCCTTTAACAGCATGTTGGTTATATAGTGATGCATTGTAAGTGGACAGCAATTTTTTTTTTTAAACACTTCTGACATAAATCAAAACAAAATTATTATGCTTGCTCCCCACCATGACCACGTAGTGCATCTATACACCATGTTTCAGTGGAGCAGAAACTCAATTGCTACCCTAGAATCAAGTGCTATTCGTACAGTGCAAAGATATAAGTGGTCAGTTACGTCTTGGTAACATGCAAAGCATCTCAGGGTTAAATCCAAGCATTCAAGGTTTTGTCTAACTGTGCGGCGTTTTATTTGTGACCCAATCCTTGCTTACATTCGCCAAAGATAAAAGCAAATATTACCGACTATCAAAAGAAATAAAATCATAGACTATCAAAGGAAATAAAATCATAACGTCATTTGCCATACTTCATTTATTCGATCGTCAATGCCTTCTGAAAAAAAAAAAAAAAAAACCCTAATGTTTCTCCCGTCATTTGATACTTGATATCAGCATAACCACAGATGTTCGGGAAAGAACACAACTGACCTCCGAAAGCCCATTTGTGGGAGGTGGCATTGGAGTGCAGAAACTTGGGGTGGACGCGCGCCCGATCGAACTCGGAGGATTCTAGCGTGCATATACAGATATAGATTGCCTAATGTTAGAGAGGGAACAGTTTTCCATAAAAAATAGGAAGAGGAAAAAGTTACCTTGTGGCGAAGGTAGAAGGGAGGACTTAACCTCGTAGTTTCCAGCCCTCCAGAAGCTTCGGCACTCGAGGGATTCGAAATTGCGGCCAGCCGCCGGTGACTCCCGTCCGAGCCCCGCCAGCTCCATAAGTATGCACTAAATTTGCTTGCCTTAAAAATGCTGGTTACCCCGGGCAGACGGCTTCGAGAATCGGCACCGACTCTCCGGTGATCATCACTCGCAAAGTTGCTGAAAACAAAAGGGCTTATTTATACTTGACTGGTCAGACCTCGCCAAGCCATACTTCAGGTAATCGCGAGTGAGAGTGATCGATCACAAGATTAACGCGGCTTGGCACGCAATTATTGTGGAGAAATTTTTACACGGGGTGTTGGACTCCAATTAAATTAAGATATAGAATTTCCCAAAAAAAAAACTTATGATATATAAATTTCTCACTCTTTTTTAAGGACCTGATGACCTAACCCAATTTAGCGGTGAAATTTTTGAAATCACAGCAGTCCGTTTTTAAGTTTAAAAAAAAATCGTGAGAGCTTCTAAATATTTAAAATTTTTGCGGAATAAAACTTTTTATAGCTGTTGAGAGAGAGAAATGAGTAACGGACTATGAAGATGTAAATTTATTTAGATGTCGTCGCATTCTCTAAAGTGTCATTAGAAAAGACGAATAAGCTTAAGAGTAAGATATAATTTACTTACCTAATAATTGTTTTCCAATTTACATTATGAGGTAATATACATTTTGTTGAGCATAATTTTTCAACAGAGAAAACTGTCAAGAGGCAAATACAATAGAATTTTGTTCACCTTCAAGTCAAATCAAATTCTCAAACAAGGTCAAATGCTTCAACGAGGAATTTATAAACTGGGCAGCAATGATTTAAGTGTTTTTTGTGATGTTTCACACACATCAGCTTAAAATGTACTCTTAAAAAATTTACATGTCGAATACCGCAAAAACGCATGCTCATGTTAACAAATTATGTAAAATGATAATTTTTTAGAAGTTTATTTATTCTTTCATATATAATTATTATGTATTTTTTTCTCTTTTTTTATGTGATATTTTTGTTCATTTTGATGTTGAGTATTATTGTGTATTACTATGTATTTTGGTAGGTATTGTTGTGTATTGAGGTATATTTTGCAAGATATTGTTGTGTATTAATAAGTATTCAAGTTATATGAATCCACAATATTTTATTTGTTCATTTGAAAGCTTTTTGAGTTTGTACATAGCTATGTATTAGATAAATTATATTAAAAAAATCATTAATACTCAATATGTATTACTATGTATTATTGTGCATTGCTAAGTGTTCAAGTTTATACGAATCCATAATATTTTATTTATTTATTTGAAACATTTTTTAGCTTGTATTACTGTGTATTACTATTTATTGATGTGTATTTTATTGTGTATTAATGTGCATTAAACAGTAATATATTTTAGTTTGCTTCTCAATTGAGTAAATCCATGAGGCCATTAAAGCTTAAGCCAAAATTATATAATACACATCAATACATAGTAATAAACAATGCGTATTAGTCAAAAAAATGAGAAGCAAACTAGGAATATGCACCCATACACAATAATGCTTAGCAAAATACACAGTAATATACAGCATTGCATAATAAAATGCAGTAATATATAAAAATACACAATAATACACAGTAATACATAATAAAATATACAATAATACACCAATACACAGTAATACATAGCAAAATACAGAGTAATACACATCAATACACAACAACACATAGTAGTACACAACAATACACAATAATCCACATTAATACATAGCAATCCACTAGTCAGACCTCGCCAAGCCTCTCTTATCTGTCGATGTACTGGATATTCGTACAAAGCTTGGATGTTAAACGTTATATCTCTCTACTACGACAAACCTGAGTTCACATAGTGTTTGGTTGATGTTATTAGAAATAAGTATGTATATAATAAGCCTAAACTTGCAATGAATGAGGAGATAATTTATCTAGATAATTTAATATTATTTAAATTTATTATTTGGGAAATAATAACTTAGTTTATATGTCACGTTTGTAAATATAGGTGAATGTGGTGTTGCTACAACTAAAAAACTTGAATGATGATTTGGAAGCTTTCAGAAAGGGAGCATTTGGGGAAGTGACTTTTGAGGAGAGAATTATTGTAAATGTCTTTAAATGTGATTTATCTTAGTCAATGTTATTTTCGCTTTACGTTTGAAAAATTATCCATAGTAGACTTGATAATGTTGGTGTATATAAAATCATAAATGTTTTGTTAGTTTTGATTTATGTGCATTTAATTTACACTATTGTGTTTTGAATCATGAGTGCAAAGTCAAAATAATGGTGTATGTTGAATCATGAGTGTTTTTAGTTGATACTAATTTGTTTACATATTCATTTAATTTTTAGAGGATTAAAATTTTAAAGGAAGAAAAAAATGAAATGACTATCTAAATATTGCTTATGGCTATAAAAAGAGAGAAGTACTTTAAATATTGAGCATTGTATTCAAATGTGTTCATGGAAGAAATATTTAGCATTGGATATAAATGTGTATACTGATGATAACTAACCTTACTAGCAAGTAATCCCAAGAGACAGAGAACTTGAGAGCATGGAGTGATATGAAAAAGAAAGAAAAACATTAAAAGAATATAAGAAAAGATTAAGAAATTCTTAGGAAATGCTCTAATATATCAGAAATGCTTCAAAAGAAAAAAAAATGTTCATCTTTGTCCTTTCTTTATAGTGATATGAGGGGTACATGGAAGATAACATTAAAAAAAAAAAGTTAAAAAAAAAAAAAACTTCATTAATTATGAACTATTGTGGACTATACTAGACATGTGTTGTGTATTAATAGGCACTCGTGTGGCTCTTCATCTTTGGCTCGATCCCCGATCTTAGAGAGAGTTCCTTGGATGAATCTTTGAGGGTAAATAAGTAAGGCGAGTCTTCTAGGCAGGCTGGTGAGTTGATATGTTGAGTCCTCTAAACATGCCAACAAGTCTTTATGTATAATTCTTATGATGTTAATTTCGAATTATTTCTTTTGGATCATGATTATGGCGAGTTGCGAGTTGGGTGAATTTAGAGGATTAGACCCTTCATCTCCTAAGATGTTCTTTCTCTGTAAATGTGTTGAATTGTTGATGGTGGCTTGTCGATTTAGGCAATAGAAAATAGCTTTGGGGGGCTACTCTTTCTAATGAGAAAAGTTTTTAAGAGTCCAAATGGATATGTACAAGCTCCTTGTAGCTCCAACTGAGGATCACTCTTTGACTTGTTTGAACTTTATGAATTACATCCCTAGATTGGTGAGTCTAATCCCTTGGAGGGCAAAATGATCGTTCAAATCGAGCTCTTCTCACTAGAACCTAATAGGAGTTCTTCCATCCAAATATGTTAGCTACCTATGTAAGTCCTAGTTGGATATGTACAAATACACATTGAGGGTACTTAAATTTATATTTATTGAAGATATTACTTATCTAGAAGTTTTATTTTTTGTCACATATTTATATTATTGCAATATTATTATGTCATTATATCATATTTAAATAATCTTAATAATTATTATTTCATTCAATTGCACGAAAGTCTAATTATTAAATTTTGGATGTCTTCTTCGAGTTTTATGTTATGCCTTTAGGGGACATATCAACAGGGGGGTGAATATATTTCCATCTTAGACAATAGTGAAAGTACAACCTTTGCCCTATTGTGCCAACAAGGTATGTATAAGCCAAGGGCGAGTTAGGTTTATATGCATACGATGCTTTTGAGATGGATGCATTAAATATATATCAAAGTAAAAAAATCATTATTTAAGAAACTCTGCTTATATTCAATCTCTTAATGAAAAGATGAACACTACGATTTCATAAGTGTATATCTCACAAATTGTTAAGCAATACTTATGATCATAATTTTCATTAAAGTATTAAGCAAATTTTATTATTTCCTCACAGTTTAAATATGATGATTACCATGATTTTTTTATTTTTATTTTTTTATCATTTGAGTTACTTTGATTTTGATGTGTTATATGCCTACCTTTATAACTCACACTTTCTATTTAACAAATTTATACAAGAAAATATTTTGTGATCTGAATGAGAGGAAGGGATTGTGAGTACTGCCGATATAAAGCAAGAAGAAATAGATATGCAAAAACTATGATTTGTGTATTGTAGTTTAAGAAAAACTAAAATTTATGAATTAGTGACTCTTTCAACCTTTTAGAAGTTAATTATGAAATATAATTTATTATTAATTATATTGAAACTTTTGTATAAGTCGATGTACTGAAAAGTACATCCAATGATCTCTTATGACATATTTTTTTATCTGTCACCTGCAGTGTAAATTCTCATCAGACGAACTACAAGAATGCCATAATGTTAAAAAAAAACAAAATTTGCAGGTCCAGGTAATAATTAGGCCGCTATAAGAAACATTTATGATTCATTTGGAACGGCTTTATTAATGTTTTTTAGTACAAAAGCCGTCTTAAACGAAACCTTAATTTTATATTTGATAGGATCACATTATTTCCTTAGGAGTATGCAACTCTCCTTGGTTTGTTGGTTGTGAGCTTTGACTATCAACCAAAAAATTTTTTATTTGAGTCTTATATATATAATGTGTGTGTGTGAATTTTCCTTAACCGGCCTATATGTCCTTAAAAAAAACATTTCTTAGTAGTAGCAGGCCAAAACCAGATGTTTTCAGATAAAAAGTCATATTTGAGAAATGCTAAATTTTTTAATCAATTTTAACTTATAACTCACAAAAATTCAAAAAATAAATTTCATTATAAAATAATCAGAAAACAATAACAAATATACGATTAAAAGTGAGTAAGCCGAGGTAAGAGTTAAAGACAAGATGATAAAAAAAAAAAATTACAAACATTCCTCATTTTATTTTTATGTTGGTCTAACAAAAAATGATTATATGATTGATATACTATTAAATAAGTGATCTTATATATTACCAGTTGAGAGAGATTCTACCGTTTTGTTTGGGACAGCCACTACAGGAAAATCATTCATTACCGATGGTTTTTGCCAGCGGTTTTGCAAAAAATCGGCGACTTTTCGGCGGTTTTCGGAAAAAAACGGCGCCGGAAATCTTTACCGGCGGTATTTTTCTGGCGGTTTTCTTCACCAGCAATTTATTTCACCGACGGAAACCTTTTCCTGTAGTGAACTTTCTTACTATTTTTCAAAGCAATTTTTTAGCACAAAATTTTTTGAACTAAAAATTTATGTTGATTGATATACTATTAAATAAGTGATCT